TGAAAACCAATTGTATTGTAGGTGAAGTATCTATAATAATAAAAGCATAGTATGCTAATTAGACCAGACAGCCAATAGACCTTCTGGACGATCTTCTGAATGAAGCTGGGGCTGCGAGGGCCGAGCCCCTTGCATGAATTTCGTGCATTGGGCCTCTAGTATCTCAATAATGCTGTTAAAGTTAATTTTTAAAATAATCGAGATTAAGTATGTTTTTACTCACTTAGCAAAGATTTCAAAATGATTGTCCCCAAGTGCAAAGAGGGTGTGTGACAAGCAACTGGCGCATATGAACTGCTATAGCAAACAAAAAACCTTCAAAAACATTGTAGAAAACCCAAAACAACATCAACAACCTAAAAAAAATGCTCATCCCTACAAATTTCAGTTTTGAGAATCTATCCTAAACACTCATATGTAGAAAAAGCATAATGCACAAAGGTTTATTTTTTTATTATTTTAAAAAATTTATCTTTATTGTTGAAAGTATTACAGATGCCCCCTTCCCCCCCCCCTCCCCATTGACCCTCTCCACCTTGCTCCCGCCCCCTCCCCAGGCCTTCACCATACTATTGTCTGTGACAAAGGTTTATTTATTTATTTTTAAAAATATATTTTTATTGATTTCAGAGAGAAAGGGAGAGGGAGAGAGAGATAGACACATCAATGATAAGAGAGAATCATTGATCGGCTGCCTCCTGCACACCCCCACTGGGCATGTGCCCTGACTGGGAATCCAACTGTGACCACCTGGTTCATAGGTTGACACTCAACCACTGAGCCACACTGGCCAGGCTCATCATTGATGTTTCTATCTCTCTCTCCCTTTCCCTTCCTCTCTCTAAAAATCAATAAAAACATATATTTTTAAAAATTTAGCAAATAAGGGTAAAATGTATACTCTGAAAACTACAAAGCATTATTGAAAGAAAATAAAGGAGACCTAGCCTGGCCGGTGTGGCTCAGTTGGTTGAGCATCGTCCTGTGCACCAAGAGGTCACTAGTTGGATTCCTGGTCAGGGCACATGCCTGGGTTTAAGGCTCAATCCCCTGCAGGGGGTGTGCAGGAGGCAGCCGATTGATCTCTCTCTCTCTCTCTCTCTCTTCCACTTTTCCTCTCTGTCTCTCAAATTAATAAAAAAATATATATTTAAAAAGTTCGTAACTTTATAAAAAATATTAAGTATAAGTACTCGTATACATAGATATAGCAAATATGGTAGAGATAGTAACAGCGAAATATGGGAAACATTGCTAAGCCCACATCAGTTACTTAAAATATAACAATCTGTGCATTTTACTGTATATAAATTGTACCTAAAAAGGACTGTACAACCTGACCAGTGAGCCTCAGTAGTTGAGCATCGACCTATGAACCAGGAGGTTATGGTTCAATTCCTGGTCAGGGCACATGCTTGGGCTGCAGGCTTGATCCCTGGTGGGGAGTGTGCAGGAGGCAGCCGATCAATTATTTTCTCTCATCATTGATGTTTCTCTCTCCCTCTCCTTTCATCTCTGAAATAAATAAAAACATATTTTTAAGAAAGGACTGTACAAAAATATTGGATTCTAGTTAATAATGTGCACACCGAAGCATGCAGAGGGAAGTGTATTCAAGTTGGCTCCTACTTTTTTTCAAGTTAAACACGTTTATTGCACATTCACTGTAGGCAACTGCCAAGTCCTCAAAATACAAAGCTTATGTTACCTTTGAGGATTACCTTTGAGGTAATGTACCCTTTGAGGACTGCAGAGATATACCAACTGTATAAAAACGACTTGGTGGAAACATGTAGGAGAGGATAATTTGAGCGAGAAAAAGATGGCACTGGAGGTTTGGGAATGGATGTTTCAGTATAAACAGGGTTCAGAGGTGTGAAAATGTGGTCTACCTAAAGATTTCTTCTCATCTGTCCCTTAGTTTCCATGCCTTCAGCCATTTTCTACCTCTGCCTTCTCTATATTTATTTTTGCCACTTTATCCTTGCAGCTCTTTCAACTCCCTTGCCTCTAGTTCATCCATCTTTCTACTCACTACCACTTAACTCTTGCGGGGAGCACTTTAGCAAAGCTACTTCAAAAGCATGAAAAGTCCAATGGAAAGATCCAATAGTTTCACACACAGCAATTCATACTAAGGAAACAGAGATGCTTTCAAAACCTAAATTGCTTAAGTGTTATTTATATTAGCATAAATAAACTTAAATGCTTAATAGGGAACTATTGGATAAATTAAAATACATCTTTAGGAGACATTAAACCATTAAACTTTTTTTTTCAAGGAATATTTAATAAGGCAGACAACATGCTTCTCTAACATGTATTTTTATATCACAGAAGCTGATATAAAGCAAAACATCCTGTTTTGGGTGAAAATGGTCTGCTTTATGTGTATACACTGAAAGCAATTTAAAATGTACTGTAATTATCATTTCAGACTTCGGAATTTGAATAGATGCCAGTGTCTTCTCTTCCTTCACATGGGAAAAGGAAATTGCTTTGAAAATCATTTGAAGCGTGGGCAAAAACCCCACAGCTCTTTTTGAGGCTCACTCTGTCGCCTTCCCCATTCAGATGATGCAAGGAAAGCTTCAATTCAACCTTTTAGAGAAGATGCTCCGGCTCGCACGATCTCATCGACGGGGAGAATGGTGGTGGCAATCACAGGGCAGGCGTGACGAAGCTGTGTCCTTTGCACAGTCGTTATCCCAGTGCCGACTCTGCTGCTACCACTGGCTCACCTGTGTTCAAGTCCACACCCACAAGTGGACCTGATTTCGGACATTCTGAGTGTTTCCTGAAGATCAAAACCAGAATTCTGAGCAAGAACCTTGGGAACAATGAGCACATGAGCAGCAGCAAATGCTTGAACTCCAAGCTGGGCCCTGCCCTTTACCCCGGGCTCATGTTTGATCAGGGCTTCTGCCATTGCCACTTCCACTGCATCAGCGCCTGGAGCGACACAGCCATCAATAGCATTTCAACGGCCCTCAAGACATCTCTTATTTGCGTCTTTGATTTGAGTGACTGTGCTTACTTGGTCACATTTCTCAGTAAAGGTGAACTTCTGTTCTCCCAAGGGATACTCATAGATAGGTCCTGCATGTCCCCATCGAGTTAGGCCACCAAAAGAATTTAGAGCTGCCCCACCACAAGCAAGAATCAGCCTTTCCATATTTCTCCTCTTAGCTCTGTGCAGCCGCTATGCCCTCTTTTACAAGAGCATCTTAAGAAAATAGGTCAATTCCCATTTGATTAATAACAACAAATCCTTTATCTGAGTTACCACAGGGTTTCCTTTTCAGTTCTACTATTTTTTTTTATATATATATATTTTATTGAGTTTTTACAGAGAGGAAGGGAGAGAGATAGAGAGTTAGAAACATCGATGAGAGAGAAACATCGATCAGCTGCCTCCTGCACCTCTCCCACTGGGGATGTGCCCGCAACCCAGGTACATGCCCTTGACCGGAATCGAACCTGGGACCCTTCAGTCCGCAGGTCGACGCTCTATCCACTGAGCCAAACCGGTTTTGGCTCCATTCTACTATTTTTTAACTCTATCTTCAATGAATCTTCCTTCAGTTTTTACTGTTTCTCTCTTCTGCATTCTTGTAAAAAAAAAAAAGCCAGAATTCACTCCCCCCCGCCCCCCCATATTCTAATGACACATTGCATTTGAGGATGTATGCATCTTCCACTCTCTTTTTCATGTCAGGATGTCATGCCCCACTATCCAAAACAAGACCTGCTATGAAGCTTGTATCAGTTTCAAATTTATGTTTCTGCTCCATGATCTCAATCATTAAGAGGTCAATAGGTTCCTCTTGCTTTTTAATGGTCAAAATGGAGTCAACTACAGCCCCTGCTAAGACATCAGCACGTTCAGCATGAACTTTAGTACAGAGAGATGCTTGGCCACATCCTGAGTGTTTCTCTGTCCATCTCTTCGCTTACTTACTTTTTTTTGGTCACAGAGGTAGACAAATGAGCTGTGAAAGAAGTGAGCCAGCTGCGTGGTTGCAGGAATCAAGTTACAGAGGCAGAAGGGCCCTTGGAGCTTAGGAGAAAGAAAGCACAGGTCCGCGCCTTGAGGGAAGGGGCAAGGAAAGGGGTGTGTGTGTGTGTGTGTGTGTGTGTGTGTGTGTGTGTGTGTGTGTGAGAGAGAGAGAGAGAGAGAGAGAGAGAGAGAGAGAGAGAGAGAATGAGAAAGAGAACAAGAATCTCTTTGCTTGTTCTAAAAACGGAAGTACCTCTTCCTTTGCAGCTTCAAATCCTTGTTAAGATTTTGGGATGAGACCTTCAGACACGTAGAGACCCATCTGTGTTAGCAGTTCTCCAGCGATTAGGACACTGGAAGTGGTTCCATCATCTGGGCTCTCTCCACTTTGGCTACCAAGGAGGCTGTTGGGTACTGAATTTGCATTTCAGGAAGCAGCACTTGCCATCTTTAATAAGTTTGATGTCCCCAGCACCAGAAACAAGCATCTTTATGGTGCTTTTAGGCCCCAACTTGGTCCTCAGAATGTTCTACAACCCCCAGGCTGTGTTGATGTCAACCGCCAACACTATCTGGGATTGGGCCACCTCAGTCTTGGGGTGTAAGGTCTTCACAGCTGACCAAGCAGAAGAGTAAGAGACCCGGCGTGAAGAATGCCCAAAGCCAGCTCCCAGCCTCCTACTTTGAAGTGCATTACAAGAATAAGATGGACTGATGGAGAGCTGATGCAGCTACAGCAAAGTGGTTATAGCAGAAGCCAGGCAGTACCTATGTGAGTGCTCACTGCACAAATTTTCAGCTTCCCTGCGTGTTTGAAACTTACATGCTGGAGAAAAATGTGTATAGACTGCCTCATAGTGAGCGAGCGAATTAATAAGCCTGAAAGACTAGGCAGAAATCTGCTGAAATGTTGTCTTTACACTCTCCTGTATATACTCCAAAGTGGGCTGGCATTACTTTTATAATAAACTTTTTTTCAAGAAGGAAAATGGCACCAGAATCAATCAATAAATATAGGTATTTATTCCAAGGGCATAATGCCAAGAAGAAAGTCCCAGAGATCAGTGTGGAGTGGGAGAAAGCTGCTGCCCCCTGACCAAGGGTGGATGAAACCTGGTGCTTCTCTACAGCCCAGCTGTGCCGGGAAGTCCAGGGGCAGAGCTCATGGCTGGGCCCTGGGCTGTGGGCCCGGGGTCTGGCCTGCCCATCTGCCAGTGAGTCCTGTGTCCCAAGAAGCCCAGTGTCAGGAGAGGCGGCAGAGGAAGTCGTGCAGGGGTAGGGCCAGGAGCCCTGACAGGGAGATCCCCAAGGTGTCGGACACACAGGCGGTTGCCATGGCAAATTCCCGGTGCTCATCACTGGTCTGGGGGACGGGGGACAGGGAGCAGGGGTGAGGCTTCCGTTCTCCACACCCCTGCCCTGGCTTTCCCCAGAAAGGCCACCCACAGCCCTCGCCGACCGGTGCTGACCTCCAGGGCGATGTTGTGGAAGGTGTTCACGTAGGCAGCACCCCCCAGGAGCCCCTCATACAGAACGATCAGGAAGACGATGTAGATGCTCGGCAGGAAGCTCAGCCATACGTCCACCAGCAGGAAGACCAGGTTGAAGCACTGTGGGTGCAGGTGGAGGGCAGGGCTGAGCCTGGACTCGCGGCAGGAGAAAGGGAGGCTGCCATCCCTCCCGTGGCCCCAGTTCTTGGAGACACTGATGAGGGAGAGGGCTGGCAGGCTGGGATTGAATCCCAACATCCAGCTGGCCTACCAGACCCTGGGATCTGGGTCACGCCTTCTCTCTACCCTATCCCACATCCCAGACCCCATGGGTCCCCTCTCTGGCCCCTTTGCTCACGTCACTCCTACTCCCTGGAATGCCATTCCACCTCCCCTCACGTGGGATCCCTTTGCCACTGTCCAGAGCTCAGCGTGGACCAGGGTCACTTACTCCTGTGACCTCATTCCTCCTCCCAAGGGCTCCTGAGTAGTTTCCCCCATTGAGGCTACGGTTAGGCCAGTGGTTCTCAATGGGGCTTGATTTGCTGCCCACAGGACGTTTGGCAATGTCTGGAGATCTTGGCTGTCACAACTGGGAATGGAGGCTGCTATTGGCATCTAACGGGTGGAGGCCAGAGGGGCCGGACAGCCCACCACAAAGAATGATGTGGCCCAGCACTGAGGTGGACACACACCAGCTTAGCCGTTCCCACCTCATTTAGGAAGCCTCTCTGACCCCACCCAAGGGTGTAGGTCCCTCCTCAGTGCCCCAGCCCCTCAGGGGATCCCAGTGTCCCCTCCGGAGTGCAGGGTTGTCACCAGGGCGGTTCATGACTTGATGCACACGAGGGTCACCCACAGGCCTCACCCTTAGAGGTCCTAATTCATTCCATCTGAGCGAGGCTCAAAAATCTGCATTTAAAAAAACACTCTGGTAATACTAACATGACCTGTGAAACACTGCAAACACTTTCATCTGCGGCGTTAGGCTATACGCTTTCTGTAATGGAATTAAATGATTATATGCCCCTATTTCTACAAAGCAGTCTTGGTTGAAATTATATATAACTAAAGTCATAAACTACACATCAGCAGTATCTAATGAAGAACCCTGAGTTAAGATGTATTAACACAACAATTTGGGCCTTTGCTTCTACAGAGCCCTGGGCTGGCGGTACTGCTTCAATAAATGAAGGAGAAAGTTAGAGGACATTGGCATGCTGTTGCCATAAGGTTAAAGTGTAATCTATACTTATTCTAGATCTTGTTATGGATTTAAGTACATTAAAAAGGGCAAAGGACATTCCTATAGTAATTGAAAGTTTATTTTAATAGTTACCTACGGGGCTATAGAAACAATACATGCTGATTATGTAAAAGCACTTTTCTTAGCCCAGCTGGAGCGGCTCAGTTGGTTGGAGTGATGTTCTGTACACCAAAAGGTTTCAGGGGCAGGTTCGACCCCAGTCAGAGCACATACAGAAAACAACCAATCAGTGTTTCTCTCTCACACTGATGTTTGTTTCTCTCTCCCTTCCTCTCTCTAAGCATGTCATTGGGTGAGGATTTTAAAAAAAGTGCTTTTGTTAGACTGTTGTAGGAAAGGTGTTTGTTTTCTTAAAGCTGTAGATTACTTTTGTCATGGGTAGTTGAATTTGCTCACCAGCCTTGAGACATACAATCTGTTGAGAACAATGTCACTGATCCTATATAATAAAAAGCTAATATGCAAATTGACCGAATGGCAGAACGACCGGTTGCTATGATGCGCACTGACCACCAGGGGGCAGGCGCTCAATGCAGGAGCTGCCCCTGGTGGTCAGTGCGCTCCCACAGGGGGAGCACTGCTCAGCCAGAAGCCAGGTTCATGCTGGCGAGCGCAGAGATGGTGGCGGGAGCCTCTCCTGCCTCCATGGAAGCTCTAAGGATGTCTAACTGCCGGCTTAGGCCTGCTCCCTGCCTAAGCCATCAGTGGACATCCCCCAAGGGCTCCTGGACTGCGAGAGGGCGCAGGCTGGGCTGAGGGACCCCCTGAGTGCATGAATTTTGTGCACCAGGCCTCTAGTTCTATTATAATTAACCATGCAGAATAAAAGAACTGTGCATTTTCTTATTGTTAGAAATGTTATTTGAAGGCCTGTGTCTCTGCATGAGGCTTGTGCAAATAATCATGATGTAAGTGATTCTAACTGATTGAGACACAGTATAAAGTCCTGTTCTTTCATTCCTCTTCTCATCTCTATTTCTTACAACTACCTTGAGAAGTAGATGGTGGCCATGCCTGATTTCTAGATCAGGAAAACAGAAATTGGTTTGGAGACCTGCCCTATGTCACACAGCTACTGAGTACAGGAGCTGGAATTTACATCAGCTTTGCCTGGCTCCGAGGACACACTGGACACGCAGCTCTGATGGCCTTCTGTTCCTGTGCTTGGGGAAGTTGGGAGCGAAGGTGGGAATGGAGTGGGGGCCAGGGGCCTCATACCTGCAGCAGGGCCAGGGCCCACGTGAACTGGATGTGAAAGCAGCGAAGAGAGGAGCGCGAGGCAAAGACGCCGGCCTGGTACAGCATCTGGTACCTGAGATAGGGGCAGGGAGGAGGAGGAAGCCCTCCGGTGCCTACTCACATGGCAGCCCCTCCTACCCCAGGCCCACCCGGCAGACTGCCCGTCCTGCCACCCTCCTCACTGCTCTCACCAGCGGTACTGCTGAGCGTGACTCAGGGACGTGTTCCGGAAGAAGAGGAGCTCAAACTGCAGCAAAGACCAGACAGGGAGATGAATGGGGACACGTGGGCCCCCACCTCAATCTCTATTCCCACACCCCTCCCGGTGCCCTCACTCACAAGCCCCTGATTGATGAAGTACTCAGCAAAGTAGACCAGGACCAACGGGAGGATGTAACACTGCAGGCCCTGGAAGAGCCAGAAGACATAACGTACGTGGTTGGCTGGGAGACGGGCACTGGCCACGGGCGGGGATGGGCCCCAGCCACCGTCCATACCTTGAACACAGTCCACTTCTCCTGAAGGGAGAGGCCTGGGCTGGAGTCTGCAGAGGAGCAGGGAGAGAAGGGCAGGTGAGGTTGGCATACGGGCTCCTGCTGGGAAAGAATCAACCCGCCAAGGTGGAATTGTACACTTAAAATGGTCAAACAGGTCAACTTCATGTTATGTGCATTTCACCATGGTTAAAAAAAAGACAAGACCTCTTCCTGGCTCTTGTACAGTTTGATGGCTGTCCAGCTCCACCCCAGCCACACTGGCCCTTCTTTCTGTTTCTTGAACATCCCGGCTCGTTCCCACAGCACTTACTGCTCCCTCTGCCTGGAACCTGCTCTCCCGGATGTCCACGGGGCTGAGGCCTTGTCTATCAAACTTTAGCCCAATGACACCTCCTCAAAGAGTCCTTCACTGACCACCTCCTCTAAGCAGAACTCTCCACTTCCCCCAGTCGTCATTTTCTAGCACATCACTGCCTTATGTCCTTCCAGCACTTACCAATATGTTTCTGATTCCGTTGTTTACGAGGCGGCCTCATTTCCTCATCTTACTCACCACGCACCTCCGTGATTGGAGGGTCTGGCACACAGTAAGTCCCCAATGAGTATTTCCTGACTAGCTGACTGTGGTCGGCTCTCACGCATCCCCTTCCCCTTCCCACGGTGCACTGTGGGGAGGAAGGCTACATGAGGACCCCCTGTGTCTCCAACCTGGCTTCCACTCGGGGGCCTCGGGGGTCTCAGGGGCCTCGCTGCTCATCAGGGGTTGCCGAGCTGCCCTCTCTGCCTCTTCTTCCCCTCCAGGGTCCTGGGGCCCGGGCGATGTGAGCAAAAAGAAATAGCTAGGAGTAGGTGGAAGGAGAGAAGGGCCAAGAGCCTCTGTCAGCGGGGAGAGGCACCCCACCCCCATCCTGTGCCAGAGCCCCAACTGTAGAAAAACGCTTTCTTCCCTGGAGCTGGAACTTGTCTCCTTGTTGCTTCGACCGGGGCCTTCGCCTGACTCCTGGCTCACACTACGCCAGCCAGCTGTTTGCTTGACATTCCTCTAATGGCTGCTCTAGCTACTGCTTATTGTGTGTTCATTCTGTGCTAGGCCAGAACCTCCCAAACTTCACTTATGTTTTGTCTTCATGCTGTTTGCCACATCCACGTTCCTCCTGTGTATAATATGTTTTACTTAATGCGTTCCTTCAATTGATTCCCTTTTTCTACATGGCCTTGTCCTAAGCAATAATCTGTGAAATCACAGGTTTGATTGACTGGTTAAAATTTTTTCCAAATACACATCAAATTAATCAAGTCCACCCTCAAGTCACCTTGGGAACCACACTGTACTGGATGCTTCACACACATCGCCTTGCAGGGAAGCAAGGAGAATGGCCACCGTTTGAGATATGGGAACACCGAGGGTCAGAGAGGTAAAGCAGCTTGTCCCATCCCACATGGCTAACAAGTGACGGCTCCAGGCTCAAATCCAGGCCTGTCAGAGTCTAGAACCTGCATCCCTCATAACAAGGCTGAAGGGATCTGAGGATTTGGATCCTGATCTAGTTTTGTCTCCTCAAACCCCTCTTCCTCCCAGCCCCGCACAGCTTACCTGGCCAGCAGCAAGGCGGGGATGCCCAGCATGGACAGCAGGGTGTGCTGGGGGGAGAGGCCCACCTGGGTGAGGCCCAGGTAGGACAATGCCCCCAGCAGCCCTGCTCCTCCAGTACCTGAGGACCACCAGGAGATCACAGCCCTGAGGAGGAGGACACTGGAGCACTAAGAAGGACCAACGCCAGCGGTGGGAACTCCTCTCCCCACTCCCCGCTCCCTGCCTGCTTACCTGGGGTAGAAGGCGGTGAGTGAGAGGAAGGTGACCTCCCCCAGACCTGATGAGATGCTAGCCAAGACCACACCTGGAGGGAGGACAAGCACGACAGTGGCCATACTTAGCCTTTCCCCATACCCCAATCCCTGGCGGTGTCTGGCTATGGCCTCCTCTGCATCAGCTCAGAGGGGCTAAAAACAAATCCCTGGATGGGCGGGGCTCCGGATCTGAAGTAGAACCAAACCCTCCTCTGAATGCCCTCTCACAGGGAATGAATGGCACTAACACCCACTGTCATCAAACCAGGAGCAAAAACTCATCCTGGACGCCTCCTCCACCCTTGATGGAGTCTTGGTTCCTCTGCCCAGCTCCATCTCCATCTCCATCTAATCCAGCGGTTCTCAACCTGTGGGTCGCGACCCCTTTGGCGGTTGAACGACCCTTTCACAGGGGTCGCCTAAGACCATCCTGCATATCAGATATTTACATGACGATTCCTAACAGTAGCAACATTACAGTTATGAAGTAGCAACGAAAATAATTTTATGGCTGGGTCACAACATGAGGAACTGTATTTAAAGGGCCAGAAGGTGGAGAACCACTGATCTAATTCATCCATTTCCTCTCATGTCCCACCCCTCCTACCCCTCCAAATTGACCTCATCTCCCGTCTTCTCCTTGAGCAGTCCTAGCAGCTTCTGAGGGTTACAAAAATAATCTCTTCCCTTTGTGGAGTTGGGGTTACTACTCCCACAAATGCTCTGTTGCCTTTCCTCTGGGCCCCCCACCTGACACAAAATCTCATGCTCACCACACAGGCTGGTCACCACCGAGTGGGAAAATGCAACCAGGATGAAGCTTCCAGCTGCACAAACCCCACTGAAGAGAACCCGGGGGCTGAGGGGGAGGGGAGGGAAGGGCAAGGTCAGCTTTGCTTTCACCCCTTTGCCCTCCCAGCCTCCTCACAGACCCCAGCCCCCCTCTTCCTGCCCCCTGCCCCACACCTGTAGGGCAGCAGATGAAGGCCAAGGGGAGCCAGCAATTTGATGACGAGCGTGGGCAGGATGTCTGCCAGGAGCACCGCCTGGGACAGGAGGACAGAGTGAGACCCCAGACCTTCCCCGGGACAAACCTCTGAACCAAGTGGCCAAGGAGACCTGTGACAGGCTCTGAATTCAGATCTGGGTTCAAGTCCCAGCTCTGCTGCTCCTTAGCTGTGTGTCAGGTATTCACATTCTCTGACTCCAGTTTCCTCATCTGGAAAATGGGGATGGTTACAGTGCCTAGCTCACAGTACTGCTATGTGGATGAAATGAGCCAATATTAGCTACACACAGAGAGGGCTCAGGGAATGGCAGTCTTAATGATTATAACTAGGACAGTCCCAGCTGGATGCTGAGGGGGTGGGGCTGGGGGTCAGGGGAGGACCAGATGGGTACTCACAGCTGTGGAGACAGAGTTGCAGTCAAAGCGAGATGAGTTATTGTGGGGGGTGGGGACTGGGTCTGGGTCTACCTGATGGGAAAGAAGGAAGTGTTTCACCCAGGGAGGCAAGAGGGTAGACCAGTGGTTGGCAAACTCATTAGTCAACAGAGCCAAATATCAACAGTACAACGATTGAAATTTCTTTTGAGAGCCAAATTTTTTAAACTTAAACTATATAGGTAGGTACATTGTTATTAACTTAATCAGGGTACTCCTAAGCTGGCCTTTGCTAAAAACGTCCTCAATCTGATTGAGGTACGTTCGCTGAGGTCGACCCCTTCCAACTCTCCCATCCACACTCGTCCTGTATACTCGTTTCATCTATCTCCTTTCCGAAAACCGACTTCTGCGCATGGGCCACGAAGTTTCAATCGCACTGTATGTGTGCGCCTGCACATGGTATTTTGTGGAAGAGCCACGCTCAAGGGGCCAAAGAGCCGCATGTGGCTCACGAGCCGCGGTTTGCTGACCACTGGGGTAGACAAACAGGGCCTGGCTCTAGTCTCAGCTCTGCTCTGACTTGAAGGATGGTCTTGCGTCAGCACTGGCCTCCTGGACCTCTGTGTGCACAATGGGAAGGAGGAGGTTGCCATAGAATGGCCCCCTGGCCAAAGATGGCCCTGTAAATAGACTTAATTGGGTAATACATTCAGGAACTTTTATTTAAAAATGTGGGTTTCGCCCTAACTGGTTTGGCTAAGTGGCTAGAGCATTGGCCTGCGGACTGAAGGGTCCCAGGTTCGATTCCGGTCAAGGGCATTATCTTGGTTGTGGGCACATCCCCAGTAGGGGGTGTGCAGGAGGCAGCTGACCCATGTTTCTCTCTCATCAATGTTTCTAACTCTCTCTCCCTCTCCCTTCCTCTCTGTAAAAAATCAATAAAATATATTTTTTAAAAAATGTGGGTTTCCAGAAAATCTAATCTTGAACCAAATTCCTTGTTGGACCTGCAAGGTGGCAGCTGCTCCCCTTGGACATGTGCCCTCGAGATCCTCACAGACAAGAGGTTCTTAACCAGAGGTGATTATCTCCCACAGGAACATCTGGCAATGTCTGGAGACATTCCTGATTGTCACAGCTGGAGGGCAGAGGGTGCTATTGGCATCTGGCAAAGAGGCCAGGGATGCTGCTAAAGACCCAACAATGCACAGGACAGGCCCACAATAAAGAATTATCCAGCCCAAATGTTAACAGTGTGAGGGTTAAGAATCTGCCAGAGACCCTGGTCCTACCCCGCCAACACCTGAGTGTGTACACCTGGCACCAACTGACTCTTAAAGACCCTTCCTGCTCTGAGATCGGGGAGACTGGGAACTTTAGCCCCTTGCCCCACCACTTGGCTACCCTTCTATGAGTGTTTCAAGGGCGCTTCTGCCCCAGGTGAGTCCCTCCTCTCTTCCCACAGAAGTGAAGGTGGAGAGGGTCACTTACATGGCTTTGGTTTCCAGATGCCCTCTTGTGGCCGAGGATGTCATGAGCAGCACTGAGCATCACCACGTAAGAGAAGTTGTTGCAAAGGCCCAAGAGCCTGGAGTGAGGACAGATTTCCCCCGCATTTACTGAGATATAATGGACATATTAGAACAGATCTTAACCTCCTTTCAGGCCCACAATCTAACCGCAATCCTAGCACCAATCCTCCCCTTTCCTTCAATCAAGCTCCCACTTTTTTCTCTATCACCAGACTCATCTCCATTCAGTGTTAGGGTTGGAAATACGGGCTTTGGGATCACAGAGTTGGGTTCACATCTAATCTCCCAGACTTCTCCCAGGAAGAGGAGAGAGTCTCCTTGATGACTGTTCCTCTGAGCTCCCCCCAGTTCCTGGGGCATTTCTCATCCACTGAGCCTCTGTCTCGGATGCGCTGTGGGTCAGTAGAAAGCTCCTGGGGCTTGAAACCAAGGGCTATGTTCAGGCCCCAAGTCTGCTGCTTCCTACTTGTGTGGCCTCGGTCTACTCATGCGTCAAGCGGCGACACAAATTTCTCTTCCACCTGGAGCAGTTCCAGAAGGGTCAAAACAAGATAATACCGAAGTCCTTTATGATCCATGGAGGACCTTGTTTGCATACGCTCATCCTCCAGGGCAGCACTCAGTGATGGGAATGGAACTGGGCCCAGCGCCAGAGATTTCATGGGTCCTTTTCACAAGCCCATGGAGGGGGGACTATTGCTCTTCCCATTTCACTGCTGAGAAACAGACTCAGAGAGGCTATGTGACCAGAGTTACATGGGAAGTCACTTCCAACCCAATCTGCCATCCAAGTCCTCGATGTTTAGGTGGTGCTAGGAGGATTTTTCAGCACTTAAAGTAATTTTAGGAGGCAGATGGATGCTCTTATAAAAAGTGCCCAGCCCTGTGGCTTAGTGGTTAAGCGCTGACCCATGAAACAAGAGGTCACAGGTCAGGGCTCATGCCCGGGTGGTGGGCTCAATCCCCAGTAGGAGGCATGCAGGAGGCAGCCGATCAATGATGTCTCTCTCTCCCCCTCTCCCTTCCTCTCTCTCCAAAAGTCAATAAAAAATATATTTTAAAAAGTAGCGATGCACTTATTTAAGTGTGCATTAGGAAAATATTGGCTTTCCATAGAGTAGTGATTTAAAGTTTTCTTTAAAAAAATACATACAGTGCCCCGGCCGGGTGGCTCAATGGTTAGATATCAGCCAGCAGAGGGAAGGGTGGGTGAGTGTGGGAGGCAACCAATCCCTGTGTCTCTCTCACCCCGATGCTTTCTTCTCTCTCTCCTTTCTCCCTCCCTTCTACTCTGGGAATCAATGGGGAAAATATCCCCAGATAAGGATGAAAAGAAAAACCCCAAAACGTATATTTATGAATTTAAAGGCTTAATTGATTGGAATAAAATCAAGTAAGTAATCCCACAGGTGGTATGAGGATCTGGCCAAAACGTTAAGGTGGTAAGTAAATGAGTTAAATTTGGGAAATTTACACATTGCCTCAGGCAAACCAAGTGGTTCAGTAAATATCTGTGGATTCAGCTCCCTTTCCAACTCTCTACCCCCCTCTTTCCTCGGGTGGCCTCCCTCTTCCAGCCCCTTTTCACTCTGTTGAGCTCTTGGGCCGCTCACCAGAAGCCCATCGCGTTCTTCCAATGGGCGCCCTGCCGGTCCGGCGGCGGGGGCCGAGGTTCCCGAGGTTCCTGGGCCGTCACCGCTCCTGCGAGGGCGAGAGAAGGCATGACCCCCACCCTCTCAGGGGTATGGTGACCGCACGGTGTCCCCCGGGTGGCGCCTGCTCCGCTCCGGAGCTGTCAGGGGGGTCCCGGCCAGAGGCAGTCGCTGCAGCGCGGGGGCCGCAGTACTCACCCTCGGAGTCTGAAAGGCGTCGCCGCGAGCCCGCGCTGCCTCCCATGGCATCAAGTTCAGGGTCCCCAGGGGTCCAAAGTCAGCGCACGTTCGGAGTCGGCTCCGATGGGACCGGGAGGGTCTGTGCCCTGTGAGAAGGGTCAGCGCCCCACTGCTGGTCCCAGCTGCGCTTCTCTGCTGCGCCCCCCGAAATCCACTACGCGAAGCCGGGGATCCATCTCGTGCTCTCCCACGCCCCACCACGCCTCACCCGCCGGACTCCGCCCCCGCCCCTCTAAAGCAGGGGGTCCCTGCAGCCTGTACCTTTAAGAGCAGCTGAACATTCCGCACCACGGAGCAGCAGGTCGGCGGGTCACGTGACGGCGTCGGCGGGTTCCCCCATCACGTGCTCGGAGGACCTCACCACTTCCGGGTTTCCTCTCTATCTTCGCTGCAGGCCTCGCCAGCTCCGGGGTGTGGGGCCGAGAGAGGCCAGGAGAACCCTGGGACCGCTGGTTTAAAACTGCAGTGGGCGGGATCAGCACGAAGAGCCCTGACGTTAGATGAACGGCGCCCGCGGCCGCGGCGGGTCCTGTGCCAACACTCATCATGGCTGCGCGCGGCTTCAGCGCCCGCGGCCCTCACCTGCCAGAAACAAATATGGCCGCCCGGCGACTCATTTCAGCCACGACCGTTTCTGGCCTGGAACAAAGACGGACAGCTGCAGGCCGTTCTTATTCCTTTCTGTTGTCCTGACATTGCTTTAGAAACGGAATGTAATGGTAACACCCGCCTAAGAGAACGTCATGAAGTATTTATGGGCAGTATCCAAGGCGTTAAGAGGTCCCTTTACCAAATCATTCTAGAACCAAAGAATATCACAGGAGTCCAACCCCCGCTTTTACAGGTGAGGAAACAACAAAAAAGGAAAGTTACTGATGATCATACAAAGTTAGATGTGAAGGTGACCTTAGGAAAGCAGCTGGCTGAGCAGGCTGCTGGGGATTCCTGCCTGCTCCCAGGGGGCCAGACCAGCCGATTCTAAGGCCCAAGGTTCTGATTCTGTGATCTCATCCCCTTTATCTAAGTAGGAATTTAGGAAGTGGGGCTCCAGAAGCGGATTAGAGGAAGAGGTGGAGATCAATGCCACTTCACATAGTCCCAAATAAGGAGGGATTCTCTCACCTTCCTCTAGGTCAGCGGTTCTCAACCTGTGGGTCGCGATCCCCTTGGGGGTCGAACGACCCTTTCATAGGGGTCGCCTAAGACCATCGGACAACACATATACAATTACATATTGTTTTTGTGATTAAGCACTATGCCTTAATTATGTTCAATTTGTAACAATGAAATTGTCACCACAACATGAGGAACTGTATTAAAGGGTTGCGGCATTAGGAAGGTTGAGAACCACTGCTCTAGGTGGTAAAGCAGCATTCTGTGATTTCTCCATTACCTCCTTCCCCCGCTGACATCTCCTACGGGCTTCCAATCCCTGTGCCCCCCTGTGTCCGCTCTTTCTCACAAGCAGGCCGCCAGGCTGCTGTTAGAAATGTGCTCCTTTCCCTTTGGTCTTCCCAGGTCACTCAACCAATGAAAAGTGGGGTTCTACACCCATGCAGGGCTCTAGAAACTCATCAGTGTGTCATACATGGCCTCTGCCCCCAAGGAACTCACAGGAGGGTGGGGGGCAGACACAAATAACCACAATTCAAAACCTAGCTAAGTTTTGTTTCACAAGAATGACTCGGCAGATTAGGAACAGCATTGAAGCCGCCAATCCAGCCCCTTCTTCCCCTTGGGGAAGCATTAATGACCCTGAAATGAGAAGCCATAGCTCTTACCAGCCCCCTACCTACTCCCACTCCTCGTCCCCAAGCGAAACAGGAACCACAAACCCCAGCTTCCTCTCAAAGTGGCTGTGGCTTGTGGGGAGGCGGAAATGGCTGAGGTGTGAATACAAGACCTGAGTCACTTGAGCTGCAGTTGCCACATGCACCCTCCCCCATCCCCAATTCTGAGGTCTCCTGCTCCCATTTTTTCCCTTTCTGGCTTCCGCCTTTGCCCTTTAGCTCAAAATATGCACCTGAGTTCCTTGTGGGGTGCACACCCATTTCCCAGCCTGGGCTGGAAGCTGCCGTGGGCATTGCAGAAGGTGGGTAGGGCCTGGGGTAAGGATACGTCAGGGGGAAACAGGGGAAGAGGAAGTGCTTGGGTCCTGGGTAAGACTGGCTTGTCTTGGTGGGTGGGGACGGTCATTGTCAGCTTCTCTGGACACACAGACACAGACAGGATGGATTTCCTCCGGCTGCATCTCCCAGGGCTGCACCAGGCCTTGAGGGGGACACTGGTGAGAGGGGCAAAGAGATGCCAGGGACTTTCACCCTGCTCCCCGGGACCTCATCTTCCCTCCTCCCTTTGAGTCTCTCAGACTTGAGATTCCTTCCCTAGGATAAGGCAGCCTCTAAAGCAATCTTTTCTGGATTTCAATCCTCCCCCCTCCACAAACCTATCCACATACCCCAATCTAGGCCCTTTCCTATTCCTTCTGCAGATCCTGTTGTCCTCCTCCCAGAACCCAGAACCCCTCCTCCTATTCTGAGTTCCTCTGTCCCAGGGCCCGCAGGAGAGAGCTGGGCCTTCCCTTAATGCCTTTGTCTTCCCCTCTCCCCATTCTTCTAGGATTCCTTAAGTACCTTTGTCTCCTACCTTTTGGGAGATGAGGTCCCCACTGTAGAGAGGGGAGAGGCGTGTGCAGCTCAGGAACTGGGGGAGGTGGCTACAGGAAGGCCAGGAAGAAGTGTAGAGGAGGAAGCCCAGGAGGCTCTGGAGGTTGTGGGAGGCAGCCAAAGCAAGGGGGACGGAGGACTGAGAGGGCCTGGAGAGGCTAGAAGACACCAGGAGGGAAGCTCAGCTACAGAACAGACCTGGAGTTGGGGAGAAGGCAGCTCCCATGGATCTCAAGGAGACAGGCAGGACACTGGGGCGCGGGAGGCAGTCAAGGCCTCCAGGTGCCAGGAGCCAAGTGCCCCCTTGGAGGCCAGAAAGAAGTCTGACGCAGGGTCTGAGGCTGGCCGAGACGGGAGCAGCCCAGCCCAGGAGAGTCAGGAGTGCAATGAGCAGGAAGTGAACAGAGAAGAGACACCGAGAACCTGGGAACAGGAGGAGGAGGAGGAGGAGGAGGAAGAGGTCAGGGCAAGAGAGCCAGGGGGGGCCAGAGGGGTGGAGTCAGAGTGGACCTGGCGTAGGGAGCCTGAGGGAAAGGCTGGTGCCCATGGCCAGAGGGCGGCAGGGGATGGCAGGGAGTCAGAACAGGAAGTCAAGGAGGCCGTTGCAGAGGAGACCCAGGGAGCTGGGGCCAAAGAGGCTGGGAGGGAAGGAGGGGTGGTGGCCGTGGAGAGGGATGGCCAAAGCACAGAGGCACCGGGGACTCAGGACCCAGGGGCAGCATCTGAGGATGGGGCAACCTTGGGCAGAGAGGAGGTGAGGACAACCTCAGGTGGGGAGGAGGCCTGGGCAGTGTCAGGTGGGGAGGAGGCCTGGGCAGTGTCAGGTGGGAAGGAGGCCTGGACAACCTCAGGTGGGGAGGAGGCCTGGACAGTGTCAGGTGGGGAGGAGGCCTGGACAGTGTCAGGTGGGAAGGAGGCCTGGACAACCTCAGGTGGGGAGGAGGCTGGGACAACCTCAGGCACAGAGGCGGCTGACTTCCCAGGAGTCAGGGAGACAGAAAATGGGGCAGTCCCAGGAGATAGGAGCCTAGAGGGTACTGGGAGAGTCTGGGCCCTAGGAGAGGCCTCCAGGGGAACCCAGGAGGAGGAGGTGGGTGGAAATAGAGAGGCTGAGGTGAGCCTGTGCCTGAAACAGACTCCGGCCCTGGGAACTGAAGGAATGGGAGAAGCGGCTGAGGTCCAGACAGCAGGGAAGGAGGCCGCGGAACGCCAGGGGGCAGAGTGGGAGGCAGGGGAGGGCTTTGAGAGTCAGGCAGATCAGGAGGGGAAAGAGGCCAAGGCAAGGCAAGACACAGAGATCAGGGCCGCTCAAGCCAGTCCGGAGGAAGTGGTGCAGGCACAGGGGGCCAAGGAGGAGAAAGAGAGTGGCTGGGCCGTAGAGGCTGAGCTCTCCCAGGACCAAGTGGCAAACAAGGCTGAAGGTGATGCTGACTTTGAGGCAACCCCAAAGGCCACAGCGGAGAAGGAGTTCGGGGAGAAGAGGAGTGAGGAGGGAGCTCAGAGGGGTCGAGAAGAATTTGGGGTCGAGGGTGGTGGCCCAGAGCACAAGGTCACTGAAGTGTGGGACGCTGAGCAGATAGGCGGCCTGCAGACCCCCGTGGAACACCCCGGGGAAGAGCAGCAGGTGAAGGAAGAGCTCTGGTGCATTCCAGCCCAGAGCAAAGGGGAGACAGAAAGGAGCCTGGAGGGCAGTCCCCGGCACACGGGGTATGTGAGGCCTGAGGCCGAAGTCTGGGAAAACCGGGGGAAAAGGGATGTGGAGAGAGGGAGTACCCAGGAGGAAAAAGTAGGTATGGAAGAGGAGGGGGAGGCCGCGGGAGGCCAAGAGCCTGCACTGCCACAGGTCCTGGGGGCAGGCGGAGAGTGGAAGGAAGCAAAGGAAGCAGGGCGTGGAGCAGAGAGCCAGGAGCTGGGTGGAAGGCACGGGGCAGAGTTAGGGACAGGCTGGTCCCTGGGTGAGTCAGATGCCAGAGAAACCGAGGGTGAGGAGGTGGGGGCCGCAGTGTCCTGGGAGGCAGAGAGAACACCCCGGGGAGGCGGGAGGCTGGAGGAGGCAGCGCCGAGCTCCCAGGACAGTGAGGACACACCGGCCAGTTCCTCGGCTGCCGGGATTGTGGAGCATAAGGCAGCTTCAGATGAGAGGGCGGCTGGGACTGGGGAAGGGCCTGAAAGAGAGATGGGGGAAGTGTGGGATGGGGCATTTGGAAGAGGCTGGGACTCAGAAGGGAGAGAGGAAGCTGGCAGAGGGGCAGAGGCGATGGAGGCTGCAGAGGGAGAGAGCAGAGGCGGGCAGGCGTTTGGCCTGGAGGGCTCCGCAGACGAGGAGGTTCCTGGCCGAGGTGGCCAAGTGGAGGCTTTTGAGGCTGGGGAGGGTGAGCCCGGCGTGGAGGCTGGGGAATCGGCAGTGGCAGACGGAAGCTGTGGGATGGGTGTCTTTACCTCGGGCTCCCAGGCGGTGAGGGCAGAGGGGACCATGGTCGTCGTGGAGGCCGAGGGGTTCCCAGAAGGGCAGATGCTGTTAGAAAAAGAGGCTGGGGCACAGGAGGCAAGGCAGCAGGGACGAGGCAGCGAGGGGCAGCGTGGGGACCACGGCCCTGAGGCAGAGGCACACATGCCCTGTGCAATGGAGGACGTGGCGGTGAGTGGACACCAGAGGCCAGAGGCCAGGGAGCTGGAGGCAGAAGACCTGGAGGATGCCCAGGGCCGGGAGGACCAGCCAGCAACCCAGGAGCCTGGGCCACGTGAAGAGGCTGCCCGTGGGGATGCTCAGGGCAGCTGGAGTGAGGTAAGGGCTCCGGGAAGGGTCCAGGGCCAAACAGACCAAAATCCTGAAGCCAGCCCCGTACCACTCAGTGCTCCCTCCCTACAGGCCCTCCTCCCTGTGTCTCGCCTGGACGTCTCTGTCCCGCGGAGCCGTGTGCTCCTCTCCCGCAGCTCCTCACAGCGTCGCTCCAGGCCCTCTTTCCGGCGCATCCCCGCCCCTGAGCAGCAGCAGGAGCCTGCCAGCCCCCCACCAGAGGAAGAGCTGTCAGCCCCTGAGCAGAGACTTCTCCACCCAGAGGAACCCCCAGAGCCAAGCCTCCCTAGGTCTGAAGGGACCCCAGTGCCAGCTAGGAGAAAGCCCCTGGGACACGGGTAAGCGCTGGGTGAAGTGACTGGGCTGGGCTGGGCTGGGCTGGGCAGGAGGAGGCTCTGGACACTGGAGACCAGCTCCCAGCCTGTCTTCCATTTCCAGGTTTGGCTTTGCACACCCCGGCATGATGCAGGAACTGCAGGCCAGGCTGGGCCGGCCAAAGCCCCAGTGATGGCACTGAGACCCAGGAGCCAGGCCCTGAGTGAGAGGCGGAGGGCTCGGCTGAATGCTGCTCAGCCTGCCTCCTTCGGCCACTTGGATGCACCCTATCCACCCGCTGGGCCTCAGTTTCTTGCTGTTTCATCCACGAAGCAGACAGAACCAGCCATCTCTGAGAATCATGAACTTAAGGAATCTGACTCTCCAATGCAGCTGGTGGACTGCCTGCCCCATGGGGACCACTGCTCACAGCCTGTCCTGACTCCCTCCCCAACCGGTCTGGGCAGCTGTCTGGAGGCCTGAGAGGGGACAGGGACAGTCTCCCACAGCCTCCCCTCTCCGCTTGCCCCCACTTCCCAAGCCCCTCCCCAAGCCAGGGAGAGCTGTGGGAGGAAGGCAAACCTCTGGGGTGAAGGCAGCCGGAGGAAAGGGGTGAGGAGGGCCTATGGAGCTGCATTTACAATCAAAGGTTTGATGTAAGTGGACCAGCCACCTTAAGGCTCCAAAATGGGAGCTCAGCCTCAGAACTCTGCTAGTTACTGTGGCAACCACCAACTGAGCAAGCCAGAGTGGAGAAAGGTAGGCCAGGAACCCCAACGTGTAGGAGCAGAGAAGGATCCAGGGTGGCCAGAGGCTGCAGAGTCCATTCTGCGCCCCCTTTGGGTATCAGACACCCCTTCTCTGAAAAGAAGCCGAGGCAGAGAGAGGGCGAGAGTGCTTTATTAGGCACCCAGAATGGCGGCCTCGCCGAGGACAGCCAGCAGGTCCCAAAACAATAAATATCCCATCATTTCCCTGAACAATAAATAAATATCCATGAAATAAATATCCAGTCAGGACTGGAGGGGCCTTAAGTTATTGGGGAGGGTTTGGGGAGGGAGGGCAGTGGAGTCCTGCCTTGTCTAAGGCAGGGAGCTGGTGGCTGTCCTGTTGGCCCAGACTCGTTGTGAAATCCTAACCGGCGAGGGAAGGGTCTGAGAAACCACTCCATCAGGGCTGGGAGCCGGCCAGTGTTGGGCACCCCAAGGCCTGGCCTGGGTTCTTAGCTTGGGAGAGCAGCAGCAAGTCCCGCACGGCCCGCGACAAGACCAGCTCCAAGGAGTGCAGCAACTGGTAGGCATAGAGGAGCTGGGGCCAGGACATCCGGGCTGACGTCTGTGAGGGGCCGTCCAGGGCCCCTGGGGGCAGCCCCTTCCCCTCCTCGTTCTCCTCCTCGGGGAGGCTGAATCCTGCAGCCAGCACCTGTGAGGAGAGGCTCACGGTCAGAAAATGGTCCAGCTGAGATGCTGAGCGAATCCTTGTTCCTTTACGTGCCTAGTGGTGCCACATGACGTCAGAAACCATAAAGCCGTGATTTCCTTACTTCAGCTCTTCCATTATGTCATCACCTCGTGTACCCTGCCTGGTTTTTTTTTGTTTCAAGAAAATGGAAGTCACAGAGCAAGCTGGTGCTCGCGGAGGGAGCTGGCTCACTCACCCAGGATTGCTCTAGGCCAGTGATGGCGAACCTATGACACGTGTGTCAGAGGTGACACGCGAACTCATTTTTGTGGTTGATTTTTCTTTGTTAAATGGCATTTAAATATATAAAATAAATATCAAAAATATAAATCTTTGTTTTACTATGGTTTCAAATCAAAAAATTTCTATATGTGACACGGCACCAGAGGTAAGTTAGGGTTTTTCTCAATGCTGACCCGCCGAGCTCAAAAGGTTCGCCATCACTGCCCTAGGCCCTGGGGTTCTGGAAATTCCTCTCTTAAGGGTCATCTTAGGATCAGAAATGGGCAGAAAGGTGATACAGCTCGTCTTTCTGCTGCTTGCACTTTTGATTCTCCTTTCAATAAAGGTAACATTATTTCCCTGTGACATGTTCAGCAGGACCTGATGATGTCAGAGGATGACAGGGAAAAGGGAACCGACTTTATTATTGGTCCTGCTGTGCTGGATGCTGTGCTGGGTGCTTCAGAGCTGTTCCCTCATTTAAGACCAAGACCCCAAGAGATTCAGGTAGAGCCAGGACCTGCTGCAGCCACACACACACACACACACACACACACACACACACATCCTTCACACGTACACACTGGGAGGATCTGGAGGATCTCCCTTCAGACTTACCCCACCTGTGGGCATAGGGGTATTTTTAAAAGGGAGCCAATGACTCCCAGTTTTAGTCTCTGGGGGTCAAGGAGGGTGGGTGGGTACTCTACCTGGAAGCGAAGATGCCGCTGCAAATCTCGGAGATCCAGCCTCATGGCCCACAGCTTTAGCTTCTCTGAGCTGGTCCAGCTTCCCTGGGTCCCCAGCCCTCCCAATAGGGCTTGAAAGGGGTGCAGTGTCATGGAGAGGAAGGACAGTCGCTCTGATCCCTGTGGAAGCAGAGGGAAGGGGTCAGAAAAGGTCCACAGGGCAAGGGAGACCCACTTCAAACCCAATCTCCTGTCTCTCTGGGCCCCATTCCCATCCCAAACTCTACCCGAATACCTGTTCTGATCCTCAACGTCATCTCCTCCAGTTCTTCCCTTCACTCATCACCAATCTAGTCTCCGCTGTCTTTGGCCTCTATCCTATCTCCTTTCGCAGCCTCACTTTCAGTTGCATGTACGACCTCATATCTAACACCAACCCCATCTCCACTGTCTTATCACTCTACCCACAAACCCATTTTATTCCTGTCTTCACCATCCCATCCTATCTCCATCTCCTCACCTGTTTCAGTCTGTTTCCAACCTCTTTCCTATCCTTACTCCCATTCCTACTCCCAATTAGATTCCTTAACCATATGTCCAGACTCATTCTCTCTATCCCATCTCCAACTCCATCCCAACCCCATTCCATTCCCATCCTCACCAGTAATCCACACCCCTTCTCATCCCCAACCTTCTTCCTATTTCCAGCCTCTCCCCATTCTCATCCCTCCTCCATACTAATTTCTATTCCTAATCCCATTACATTCCCACCCCACCTCTTTCCATGCCCAGCTTCACTTTTACCTTCTTTTTAACTCCATTTCTTTATTCAGCTTCATCTTTATATCGGATGACATACTTAACCTCATCCAGACTCTGTCCTTTAATTTATCCACAAATCTTTCTTCAGTTCAATCCCTGATTTCATCTCTATCCACCCAGCCCAGCTTTATTGCCAGCTCACTTGCAGCCCTCCCCCCCACCCCCCACAACCTCTCCCACTCACAGAGAGGCTGCACCAGGCCTGGAAGGTCAGGGAAACATTGGGGAGCTGCTGTCCCAGGGGCAGGAGGTCCAGGTTCACTCCTGGCAGGTGAGCTTCAGCCTGTAGGGCAAGGTCTGTTAGTGGGGGCCAGATGGGAGTGAGGGTCTGTCCATCCCCAGAGCCAGTTGCATTAGGGAAACTCACAAAGCGGTGGGCCTGGGCCTGAACCTCGGACAGTAGCTTCCTGGCAAGATGCAGGCTGACCTTGAACTCCTCCTCTAGGCTCAGGGGGAGTCTCCCTGGGGGCCTTGGAAATCCCCAGACACCAGCTCGAGCCAGGAGCAAGGAGAGCAGCAAAAGGCCAAGCCCTGGAGAGATGAGGAGAGGGTGGGCAAAATGAGGGGAGAGCTTGAGGAGAACTTGCGAGAAGGGAGAACTCAAGAGAAGGTGCCTTTTCTGAGCCTGTGCTATGGGCCTGTGTATCATCCCACTGACCCCTCAAAAACCACTAACGGAGGGAAGCTACTGAAGACACCATATGGCACATCTGTGTGACTGAAAGGCAGTGCCCTTTCCCCCAGGCAGACACAGCCTTGCACAGCCCCCACTAACTCCCTTGGCTAAGTGTCTTTTCCAGTGAACTAACTGCACAACTCTGTGTGGCAGCCTGGGTGCTAGTATTCTTCCCATTTTGCAGATCAGAACTGGACTCCGGATCTGTCCAGACGCAGACCCTGTGAGCTTCCCCCAGGGATCTGAGAGCAGGCACCACCTCCCCTGGAGCAGGCACTCTGTTCTGCCAAGGATTCCTTGGGCTTGGCCTCGGGCCCCAGAGTGGCTGGCAGCCCTCCGGCCCCAGAGTGGCTGGCAATGCTGGAGGCTCTACCCCAGGGAGTCAGAGGGCAGACCATCGAGCCGCTACCAAGGCGAGTGGGTCGCTCTGCAGTGCGGGAGGAACAGGGGTGCCGGGAGGGGGAGGAGGCCTGGAACGGGAGGTAGAGCCTGTTTCTCATTTGGATTCTTTCCTCAAGCAAGTCACCTCTTATTTCTGTGCCTCGGGCTCCCGTCTGTAAAATGGGGGAGTCGGACTAGCCGATTTCTGAAAGTGCTTCCTGTCCTGTGTTTCCTGAGCAAAAGGAAGAGGCACAACGGGGCGGGAGCTCTGGGAAGAGAGCAGCGTTCAGCGGTTTCTCCCTCAGGGAGAGGAAACCTAGCAATCACTGGGTTACACAATTCTCCTCGAAACACAAACCAAAACAGTCCCTAAGCCTGTTCCTGCTCGCCCCCTCTCCCTGCCTCTTCCCTGTCTGTTCTTGATCCCTCGCCCTCGGCTCTGCTCCTCAAAATGTCCTCCCCGTAAAGACCACGGGGAGTTTCTGGGTAGGTCCCCCTCCCCCATGGACTTCCAGAGAGGGCTTCCAGTGCCTGGCTCTCAAATTTCCAGGCTCCCTGGCTTGGGGGCCAGTCTGGGCTCCTGGAGACTTTGGGCAGAGTGGGGTTTTTCCCAGATCTGTGTTGAGGGAGAGGGGTGCCCAGACTGGTGGATATGGCCCACCCAGAATTGAGCTGTGTCATTTCCTACTGACCCTCCACTTCCTGCCTGAGCTCTGGAGCCCCCAGACCCTTCCCTTGGCAGACAGTCCTGGGTCCTTGGTCCTGGCCATTGAAGGTTCTGTCCCATCCTTTAGTCCTTGGTCCCTACTCTGACCCTGCTATCTGCTCTGGTCCCAGCCTCTGAGTCCTTCAGTCTCCAACTGCAGAATGGACCTCCCCCCAGGCTTCGAACTACAGACCCCTGTAGTTAGGCTGCTGACGCCTTGGCCACAGCCCCTGACATGAGCCAACTATTCCTGCTGTTCTTTCTCTAACCAGCCCCAGTGCTCAGCCAAGCTTATTCACTCCAACCCAACTCTTCATTTACCTGCCAGGTCTGGGTTCTGATCAACCTGCCTGTCCAACTCTCTCCATCCATGCCAACCAAACTGTCTCATCCTCTATCCAGTCGAGGCTGAACCATCACCTGACTGTCCAGCCCTTCTTCCCCCTCCATGCCGGCCTCCTTCCCATCCTTCCGTCAGCTGTATCCTTAGTCTGCCAAATAGTAGCCCCTCAGCCCTTCACCCCCACCCACACCAGCCAAGCTCTCCCATCCTCTGCCCAGTCTCAGCCAAGCCTCCCACCCCTCTGCCCCAAGCCCTGGCCTCAAACTCACGCCAGCCAAGGTCGCCTGCCTTCTGGCCCATGGCAGGGCCCAGCCTCTTTGGCCAGCCATCTCCCGGGCCGGGGGAGTCTTATACTGGGGGCTGTGCCCAGTTTCACTTTCCGTGCTGCTTGTACTTTCAGCTTTGCTTTAACTCAGTCTTCCCTCCTCACCGCCCCTTGCTAAATGGGGAAATGTAATTTCCCTTCCCAGAGGGGGTGTGGTGGGGGATGGTGGGAAGCTGGGGTTCTGTCAATCCAAGCTGATGACCCTGCTGAGCTCCAGGTCCAGTCTTCCCCTCACTTCCCCACTCTCAGGTGAGCCACCTGTTCTATTTGCTGGTAGGTCCCAGAGACTTGAATCCCCTCCTGTTTCTCTGCTCTGTCGTCATCGTTCTAGTGCCATCACCACCCTACTATCCTTCAAAAGATGAATGGCCAGGTAAGATGACTGTCCATCAGAGGGGACTTAGGGTCTTACTCTCTTCTGGTTTACCAGATGGCTGAGGAAGGGAATACAAGGGAAGTTGGGGCTCATTGGGTGGCTGGGATGGGGCTTTGTGTGGGGCAGAGAGGTCTCAGTCTGAGCAGAGTCAGGGCTCAGTCTACAGCCTAGGTCAGGGCTGGATGAGAAGTTTAATTCAGGGCCAAGTACTCAGTCTTTCGCCAGAGTCAGATCTTGAATTAGAACTCACTCTATAATTGGGATCAGAACATGGTCTAGGGTTGGGCTCAGAGCTTTGTCTGGGGCTAGCATCCTGGCTCTGTGTTTGGGGTCAGAGCTATTAATGGCCTGGGGGCTCTATGTGGGATGAACTAGGGTTGGGCTCAGTCCAGAGTGGGTACAGAGCTCGGTCTGTGGTCAAGATTCTGACAGCTTGTGACTCGGGTGAGGGCTGGGATAAGAGCTCAGTTGATGAGCAGGTTAGGGCCCAGCCTGTGGCCAGGTTGGGTTGTGTGAGGTCAGGACCAGGCCTCAGCCAGATTCCAGAATAGTTTCTGCTCTGTAAACAGCTGTCAAGGCTGGGTTGCATCAACCACAGATCTTCCTTCCAGCACAGCCCCGCCCTAAGCCCCACCCTGGATTTCCCATCTTCAGGGAGAAAATGGGGGTTTCTTGGTCTTCCCCAAGGCCCACTGCTGCCACTTTCCTTTTGGGACCTGCGGGGTTTCCCTATTGGGTCCCTGCTGTGAGACAGAAACCAAGGGGGCTTCCCCTTCCTATGCCCTGTCTCCTCAGCCCTGCCTTGGCACTGCTCACCAGGGTAGCCTGGGACCAACTGCCAGGGAAGTACCAGCACCAGCCAGGACTCAATCCCTGAGGACTGTGGAGGAGAAGGAGAAGGAAGAGTGATTGGCACTTGCCTAGCCCAGACTGGTTTCCCTTGCTGTGCCCCCAGTGGTGGCAGCTAATTCCCCCCCGCCCCCCCATGCCATGCACCTGGTGCTCCCTGCTGGAGGGGGGGTCTTACACATCCTTAGGCTCACGGTGAGGACCGACAGAGGCTCTGGCTGGCTTTCCTCACATCCCCAAGTCTTGCCATCATCCTAGAGACATGCCCACACACTCACTCCCTGACCATAGCCATGCCTGACCTCTCAAATCCTGAACCCCATCTCTTGCTCTCTGGCCCTCCCAACCTTCTCTTAGGGTTCCCCGAGACCTCTGCCCCTTGCTTCTCTGCCCTCCTCAGTCAGGCTGCAGCTGGCTCCTCCAGCCTCACCTCTCACTCCCACTCTACTCCCGCTCCAGCCCCTGGAGCTTCATGCTTGAACACGATGAGCCACCTCATACTTCTTTGCCTTTGCACAAGCTGGTCTCTGCCTAGAATGCCCTCCCTGCCTTATAGGTCTTGTCACAGGCTTCCCCCTGAATGGCTTATTCTTTCCTGCCATAAAGCTTGTCTGCAATGGGCATTGAACATTTGCTTATCTCGCGCACTCTCTCCTCACTCATACCACTCCAGCCATACCGGCCTCCTCGTTGCTCCTAGAACATGCCAGGCATGCTCCTGCCTCAGGGCCTTTGCACTGCTGTTCCTTCTGCCTGAACACCCTTCTTCCAGATATCTGCAAAGCGTACCCTCGCCTTACAATCTCTGCTCAAATGTCAAGTTCTCAAATAGCGTCTTTAGGGACCACCCTACTAAAAACTGCAACCCTGCCGCCAGCCCCCTCTACTCCTCTCCTGCATTTTCCCCCTGCATAGCATTTTATTTTTTTTAAATATATTTTATTGATTTTTTACAGAGAGGAAGGGAGAGAGATAGAGAGTTAGAAACATCGATGAGAGAGAAACATCGATCAGCTGCCTCCTGCACATCTCCTATTAGTGATGTGCCCGCAACCAAGGTACATGCCCTTGACTGGAATCGAACCTGGGACCCTTCAGTCCGCAGGCCAACGCTCTAAGCACTGAGCCAAACCGGTTTCGGCAGCATTTTAGATATATAATATTTTTAGATATTTAACATTTTCTCAATCATTTTTCGTTTGTCTTCATGTACATGAAGATGTGGGTTCCAGAAAGGTGGGGATTTTTGCCTGTTTTGTGCCCTGATGTGTCCCCAGTAGCTGACAATAGTAGGTTCATGTTTACTCACCCAACAAATCTGTCTTCCGCCCCGAGGGCCTCATCGAGGTTCTGCTCAGGCTGGTGATCTGTAAGCCACCGGGGGAGCAGCAGGTCTGGAGCCAGCCTGAGCCCTGAGGTCTCACTGCCAGCCTCCTCCCACTCTGGCCAAGGCTTGGGGCACCTGGACATGGCCCTGGCTGATGATCTTAGCAGAACCTTGACAAGAAGCCAGAGGGCTAGTGAGGGCCCCGCCAGCCTCTGCCCACATCCTTGGAGGATGGGCCTGGGCCCATCTCTGCCTACCTGGGCCTCAGTTTCCACAAGAAGATCTTGGTTGGTGGGCTGAGACGTGGGCTGGGGCCGGTGGGAAACGGGAGGGATGCGGTGAGGGGTGAGAGCTGCGGGAAAGGAAGCCCAGAGTCCCGTGTGGACTGCAGCGTGCAGCTAACCCCGTGGGCCTCAGGCGACTCACGGCCTGCCCTGGGCCTCAGTTTCCTCACTGAAAAGTAATAGCAATTTTCAAATGATGCCACTATTACTATGGACAGAATGAAAACCTAGAGGATTTTTAAAAAGAGAAAGAACCATACACCCATTTCCTGATTGTTTTCCAAGCCCTGACCCAGCTCTGGCCTGTGGAGCACTCCACGGGGTTGCCTGGGAATCCTGAGCTCAGGAACCAGAAGCTTCAGATGTGACATCAGGATGGAGTCAGGAAGGGAAATGTCTTATTCAAGGCCACCCAGTGGATCAGTGACAGAAGGAAGACTGGAACTCAAGTGGGGAATCCCTGGGTCCTGTGATGTCATCATCGTTGAGGCTTGGAACAAATCCCTAAGTGAAACCCAGATGGGCTTTAGTGCAGGCGGGAAGGCTGGGGGGAGGTGAGGTTGGAGCTGGGGCCACACCTCTGAGTCTCCCGCACATAGGATATGAGACCCTGAGGCTAGGCAGTGCAGTGCCCACCCCCTCCCAGGAGAGCGGGGGTGGGGTGGGGTGGGGTGGGGGACGGTGGATGGTGGTGGTGGTGGAGGTGGAGGTGGATGAGGCCTGGAGTCCCATGATCACTGGATCTCTCTCCCATCGTTCACATGCACCCACCCCACCCCACACCCAGGGCCTAGCAGGATTTATTTGTACCCTTCCCACCCACCTTTGACCCTGGGAGAGGGAGCCTGGCGAGGGGAAAGGGTCCCACCTCTCTTTTCCCCATGAGGCCATGGCAGGCACGTGGGAGGGCTGAGAGAAAGGGGGTGGGAGGACTTCCCGTGGACAGGATGGTCATCCCTGGGTGTTCTCTGTAAACTCCACAGGAACACAGGGCGGGAAGGCTGAGCTGCACAGGCTGCGAGGAGAAGGTGGGAGGCCAGGTTTGTTGAGCACCAGGAAGGAAGAGCCGAAAGCCCAGCAGGAGGGCTACAGAGGAAAAGCACCAGCCCGGGGAAGAAAAGTCCCGGGTTGAGTCCCGGCTCTGCTCTGCCCTTTCCCGTGTACACCCTCTTGAGCAAGATGCTCCAAACACGCGATGCCTCGGTTTCCCCATCTGCAGAACGGGGCCCACCTCTCAGCCCATGAGCGGAGGCAAACCTGGGAGGCTGCAGGGTGCCATGGATCAGACAGCCCCGCTCTCCTTTCACAGCTCCAACACTTCCCAGTGCGACCGGGCACAAACCTCCCTGTGCTTGGCTCATCCACCAGGTGGGTACACTCCTACCAGCGGACAGGACTGCTGTGGCAGTGACGCACATAGACAATTGGCACTGCCACTCAGTAGCTGTGTGATCGTAGGCAAGTTATTTAACCTCTCTGTGCCTGTTTCGTCATCTCTAGCATGAGGAACATAGTATAAAACTGTTTAGAGCAGTGGTTCTCAACCTTCTGGCCCTTTAAATACAGCTCCTCATGTTGTGACCCAACCATAAAATTATTTTCGTTGCTACTTCATCACTGTAATGTTACTACTGTTATGAATCGTCATGTAAACATCTGATATGCAGGATGATCTTAGGCGACCCCTGTGAAAGGGTCGTTTGACCGCCAAAGGGGTCGCGACCCACAGGTTGAGAACCGCTGGTTTGGAAGCCTCAATGAGCTATTGTTTGTAAAGTGCTTAGAACAGGGCCGGCCATGTGACGAGACTGTAGGTTTTAGCTATTATTAGTAACATAAGGTCTGACCTACAAGGAAGCTCTCAAAAATAAATACACGGGGGCCACAGGCAGAAGGGACCTGCAGCAGAAATCTCAGGGAGCCAGCCCATTGGGCGCTGGGCCCTGTGTGGACAGCCACTGCTCTGAGGACCTCTGGGAACACACACTTCCAGGCCAGGTGATGCTCTACCAGGCCTCCCTATGAGAGGACTTGGAATAGAGACAGACCCTGGGCTGAGCCTCAGGGCAAGCCATGTCAGGTGTCTGAGAGGGGCAGACACACCCTGGGCAGACAGACACCAGGTCCTTCAGCAGCCCTCATCTCCAAGGTGGACACTGGGCCCCACTCCCAAACTGGGGCCCTCACCTGGCAGCCTCTGTGGAGTGTCAGGCCCCCTGGCCGCCAGATCCCTTGCTTGTCCTGCCCACTGCACACACCCTGCTGATATTTTTATGTGCTATCTTATTCATACAAAAGAAGTATACCAGTTAATAATGTGGATTTTTTTCAATAGATGGAGTTACACATATGTTGATATATATGTGATTTGATATGTATGCTATTTTGTTGTATTGACAGCAAGCTTTAAAACTTCATATGTCAAATTTGCTGAAGGTGTTAACATCATAGATATTTTTATGCTTAAAAATGTCAAATTTCATGCCAAAAAGAGGGCATTTGAAAGAAGTTTTAATTCATTATTTTGAAGAAAAAGTCATCGTATACTTTTAGAAGCTTATGGTGAACATGCTCCATCTCAAGATACTTGTGAACGCTGGTTTAAACACTTTAAAAGTGATGATTTCGATGTGAAAGACAAAGAACGTCCATGTCAACTGAAAAAGTTTGAAGACCAACAATTACAAGCATTATTGGATGAAGATGTGTGTCAAACTCAAAAACAACTTGCAGAAAGATTAAATGTTGCTCAGAAAACAATTTCTGCTCATTTACAAGCAATGGGAAAGATTTTAAAGGGAGGAAAATGGGTGCCACATCAACTGAACGAAAGACAAATGGAAAACCGAAAAGTCATCAGTAAAATGTTGCTTCAATGGCATGAAAGAAAGTATTTTTTGCATCGAATTGTGACTGGCGGTGAAAAGTGGATTTATTTTGAGAATCCCAAATGCATAAAGTCATGGATTGATCCAGGTCAACCATCAACATTGACTGCAAGGCCAAAGTGCTTCGGAAAGAAGACAATGCTTTGCGTTTGGTAGGATCAGGAAGGTGTGGTGTATTATGAGCTTCTAAAACCA